ACGTGTTCTCCGAGTTCAACCGGTGAGTGCGGGGCTGGGAGCGGGGCTCCCCGCCCGGGCCCGCCCTGACGCCGCTTTCCCCCCAGGTATCTGTTCAACTGCGGCGAGGGCACGCAGCGCGCCATGCAGGAGCACAAGTAAGTGGGGCAGCGCTGGGGGGACACCCGGGACTGCGTCGGGCCCTGCTCACCCCCGTCTGCCCCGCAGGCTGAAGATCTCCCACCTGGACAGCATCTTCCTCAGCCGCGTGTCCTGGGCCAACGTCGGGGGGCTGCCGGGTGAGTGCGGGGAGCCCGGCGCTGCAGCTCTCGGGCAGGAGAGCTCTGCGGGGCTGTTTTAGGCAGCGGTGGACACGGTGACAGCGCTGTGAGAGGGCTGCGCTGTCCTGGGGCTCTGCGGTGCTTCCAGCTGCTGTGTGCGCTCTGCCACAGTGCACACACGTGGTGAGACTGGCCCTGCCTGTCCAGCGGGCCTGGCTTCAGCTTCCCAACATCTCCTGCAGCAGAAGGTGGTACCGGCATTACCGGCAGGGAGCTGTTTGTGGATTAGGCTGGTTTGAGTCCAAAAGAGCACACAAAAGTTTGTGGTCGCTATTGTCCTCAGTGAAGGGTGAGGTTAGGATGGAGGGCTGTGGGTCTTGTCTATTAAAATTCTGGAAATCTCCAAGAAAAGGATGAAATTAACCATCTGTTCAGATCCCTTGCTCCAGATGAATTTTATTAAGATGTGTAGATATTTTCCTTATCTGTAGTGGCAAGTGGCTTGTTGAGACTGCCACGAAGCTGAGGCAAAACTGAATTCAGGTCCAAGTTTAGTTCTGGCCTTTGTGGGGAGGCCAAGAACTCCTGAACAGAGAGGGGTCTTTCTTTTGGGATCTACCAGTGGTTGCTGGAGTTGTGATAAAGCTGTTTCTCTGCTTAGGTATGATTCTCACACTGAAGGCTATAGGGCTCCAGAGGTGCATGTTCCTGGGGCCACCAAAGCTGGTAAGTATGGCAAGGTACAGAAGGGACAGCAAACCCTCCAGGTGTTCAAGATCACCATGGAATTGGGAGAGCATGTGGAAAAGGGCATCTTTGTGCTGCTCGGAATTAGTGTCAGCCCAAATCTCTTCAGTTGCAACACAGCAGAATTCTTCTGCTCCAGTCTTGTATCCTGATAAATCAGCTTTTGGGAGAAAGGATGATCTTTGTTCCCATGTCTCCTCCCTCCCTATTTTATATTAATAGAAGCTCAGTCTCTGATCTCCTGTTTGATGTGGTCCTTGCCAGCCTAACACCATGTCTGGACCAGAAATTTGCAATCCTCAGCATTGCTGTAGTGGTTTTATTTCCTTGCAGTTTCTGCTGACTAATTGCATGGATGGAGGGGGTGGGGACAGTGGCTCTTTCCAAAGGCGCAGTGCCTGCCCGAGGTGGGACACCTGCCCAGGGCTGAGTGAGCTGCTCAGATTGGTCTGACTGAGTCTGTAGCTGCTGGAAGGGTGTTTGTCATGGCACTGCTTGAGCCCCCTCCTGATCCCCTGTCTCTTTTCCAGCAAAACTACTTGAAAGCCATTCGCCTCTTCCCCGGGCCCCTCAAAAGGATGGACTTAGGTAGGTGGGTCAGGGATGTGTAGCAAAGGAACTTGGAACTTTCATCTCCAGCCAAGCTTACATTGCCAAATAACAGCTTCAGCCTCTGGTTTAGGTCCACTCAGAGGATGCTTTAACCATTTGTTTTGCTCTGATACACTGTTCAAACCCATCACAACAGTGTTCCCAGCTCTGCTTCGGCTCCAGGGCTGCCAGGCTGGCTGATAAAGACAGCACTTGGTTTTAAAGCACTGAGGGCAGTTCCCTTCCAGAGTCTGCCAGTGAATTTGCTCACTGTGGTATCCTGAGCTGCTCCCTGAGGATGATGGGCACTCATTGGGGTTTGCAGTTGGGCAGAGAAAGGGAAGGGGAATGTTCAGCAGGTTGAGTTTAAGAAAGACAAAGACACTTTTCTGACTGATATTCTTGAAGAGTGTAAATCTCTGCTTATGCACTTGTTAATGGTGGTTTTTGATCTCTTCCAAGCTGTGCAGTTGCACACAGAGCCTGAGTACAAGGATGAGACAATGACTGTCTACCAAATCCCTCTGACAGGTGAGCACTGGTGATGCAGAGAGACAGGGGAAGCACTGCTCAGTAAGCACAATGAAGGTTCAAGGAGCAGCTTCTGTTTGCCAGCCTGAGTAAGCAGAGGTTCATTAATTTGCTTTTCTCAGGAGAAGGATCTCATTTAAGTAACAAGACCTGCTGAGTCAGGGCCTTGGCTTGTTCCTTCAGGTGTGGGTGGATGGAATGACACGTGAAACATCCCTGGGTTTGGCTTTCTCAGCCAGCTGTGTTCTTTCTGCTGCAAACTCTGACACTGAGGGTGCAGCACAGACCTGACAAGAGTTTAAGGGTTTGGGGAGAAGGGCTTGGATGAGGGATGGCTCCTGAAATAAGTGACTGGAGAATTCAAGTGCAGGCTAGAGTGGGGGGAAGAGCTCTGTGTTCTGGTGCAGTTTAAACCTGACTGTCATGGAAGAGGGAATGCTACTCTTGCTTTTCTTTTATGTTCTTTGGACTGAGTGATCTTTGTCTGCCTTCACTGGGACAGGAAGACCACTGGGTGCTGAAAGTTCATCCCCCCAGAGTCCTGGAGCATCTCCCAGAGGTGGAAATAGCCCTGAAGGGAATACAGGGCCTGGATCCCCGAGAACTGCACAGCAAAGCTTGGAGGAAGGAAAAGAAAGCCCAAAGAAAGCAGGTGAAACACATGGAATGGCCTTTTTAACTTTAACTTTTAACTTTAATGAGATGAAGCCAAATTAAGGATAGGAATTTGTCCTCTGAGCCATTTGCTTTCTGAAAGTGAGGTCTGTAGACAAGCTCAGCTGGAAGGTTCCATGGAGCAGAAAGTGTTCTGGTACTTTGGAAGTTGGTAGAGAACTTGAAAGGCCTAGAAATTGGACATGATTAGTGCTTGGGTGTAATTGGTTCTTGTAGTAGTTTGCTTCTGGTGTGGGGGTTACAACCTTTGTAATTTAATTACATGTGAATGCTGGGCTGATTATTTTTCAGTCTTGGGCCTTATTTTGTCTTCTTGTATCTGAAGCCATGGGCTCTCTGGCCTTGGGTGTCCATAACATTTTGCTGCAGGGCTCCAAGTTAAGTGGATAATGTTCCTGTTAATGCCTTAGCAAATTTTGGCATGATTTGGTTTTAAGAAAAGTGATAGTGAGTGATGATTTTTAGTAGCTTTGCTTTGTGTTACAGGTGATGAACAGAAGTGTGCAAGGGAGCATCCTGATCTGGTGACGGCTTTTCTTTGTAAAGTAAGTTTGGGCACAGTGTCTCTAAACCAGCCCAGAAGAGATGAGAGAACAGAGTATTTCAGGGGGAAGGGACATAGAGTGATCATCTATAAGCACAGGATGAGTTGGGTTGGAAGAGACCTTAGAGATAATCTGTCTCTGTGCCCCTGTGGGCAGGGACGCCTTCCATTAGATCAGGTTGCTCCAAGCCCCATCCAGCCAGGCCTTGGACACTTCCAGAGCTGAACCATCCAGTCCAGCTGCCTGGCTACTTCAGTCTGCCCAAAATGTAAAATATATTATTAAAGGCAT